TAGAAGCTATGTAGAGATTAGGTCAGTGTCAAATTCAAAATAGCGCTAGATATTTAAAAAAGTACCACTTGGAACTCTGGAACATGTAGTAAGTATAAATATCTACAAATTTTATAGTAGGCAGAAATTCATTCAGGAGAACCATAAGGAGTGAGTTATAGCTTATGTTTGTCCCTTGAGTGGATTAAATATGTATTTTTTATGCTTTTGCGAAGATATTAACCAAAATAAAGGTATTTTAGTGCCAGTTGGATTAGAAAACAAGTGAGACTGAATTATTTACCTTCATGTACATCGTTACTATGGGAAATCCTGCATTAGTTAGCAGTATTTTTAAACGAACTTGTCATTTAAAAATATCAGTGTTCTTTTTTTAATGTTTCCCCAACTAGCTTTGTAAAATAACGAAATGAGGTAAACAATGATTGTTAAACTTCATGAAATATCCAAACCAAATGGACTTAAACTGGTTTTTACTCTCCGTCTCTCAACTTCTCCCCGCAGATGTAGTTAATTTTTACAATCCCTTTAGGGTCTACGTTTTGGTGTAAGGAAACGAATGTTTTTTCTATACTCGAATTCAAATTAAATTCCTAAAATTTTTCCCTACTGGCAATTTATAATAAAATATAATCCTAAGGAAAGTTGACCAACGGAGTGCATATGAGACTAATATGTTTTCTTGAGTGTGATGGAAACATGGGAGGCATAAGGGACAAGCCGTGGGGTATTAAGAAGAGAACTAGTTCGGGAACTGGAAAACCTGGGTTCCCACTTCCTGGTTCTGCCACAAACCTGCTGTGAGGCCCATTACCTGTCTGAGCTCAATTTCGTCCTCTGTAAAATGAAGGGACCAGAGCTAGATGATTGCTAAACTCTCCCTGCTCTAACACTCTCAGTTCTAAAAGACTATCCTGCATTGTCAGCCCCGGTGTGCTACCACTGAGAGCTAATGAAGATGGCATAATTAAACTTTCTCGATCTCAGTGAATCTACACGTGCCCTGGATTTTATCGTCCCATGAATGCACCTGTGGCTTCTGATGATGAAATTGGGAGTTATCTGCATACAAGATCAGGTTTAAGGACAAGGATAGGAGCATATCTGAAAGAAGGAAAAGATGAGAAGAAATCACTTGAACTTGAAGATGAAAGAGACACAGGTTCATGTCTTCTTTTGCATTTACCTTGACGAGGGCCCGGGACAGCTCCCCTCATCTCTGGAGGGCCTTAGTTTCCTCTTGTGCTAATGGGGGCCATTTCTCTGTTATTGGAGGCCAGGGAAACAGACACATGGGTGAAATCAGAGCTAATATAAAAGCTCCATTCTAGAGAGAAGCTTCGTACCATCACGCCTTGCTTTGGGGGGTGGTAAATGGAACTTGTTCTTTCTATCCTTTTCCGAACAGCTAGTGCAGATGTTGGTGAAGCAGGGATTCCAGCAAGCTAGGCTGGAGAGAGAGAAACCAAAGGCCTTTGGTAAATTAAGAGTAAATTGAGTTTTGAGTGTTCAGTGGTTTTTATATCACCGTAACGTGACAAATTTCATTGTATCCGGGAGAAAAAATGTTCCTAACTTGCTAAGAGTGGAGAGTCCTTGAGTTGAGCTTTTTGGCTCAATTTCCCCATATGAAAGAGGATCTTCCCACTGATAGGACCAATTCACCCTGTCCTCATCAGTGTGAATAAACTTGAATTGTTCAGACCAATAATATGATTGATTCAGATTTCTGGCTTGAGCACTTCTTGGTGGGCTGTGGAACCTTTTTTTTCCTTTGGAAAACAAGCCCGGGAGTGTAAAGGTACATCAAATCATCAGGGGACAACCTATGCTTTCCTGTGGCCTCTGCAGGGCTCACAGGTTCAAACACAACCTGCCTGAATGGCGAGAACTTTCATTGAGTAGATAAAGAGGTCCTCATAATTATAAACTGCAGTAGGTAGAACAAGAGGCTAAATGCATAGCTGTGGTTTTAATTAGCTGGTGCTTCAAATCAGTAATTTTGATTTCAGTCAGAAATCAGTGACGTTCTGCACTGTGAAAGCCTCACCACCATGTAGTTCATTCCTCATTATACCTCGCCGTGTGAAGCTTTCAATACAACGCCATGCTGAGCAAAAAGGAAAAAGTTGGAGAGATTTGGTTGCCTTCCAAGAGCAATACAACTCTATGGAGATTACATTTATTCTTGCCAGAGATAGGAGAATTAACTGTTCTTTGTTATATGTGTTAAAAAATGCAGCAGGCAGTTTTTTTTGCAACAGATAACACCCATGTGCACACTCAATCTGCTATTCAGATTTTTGTCTGGAATTTGGTAGCTTAACGAACTGAGGCAAAACGCAGCCAACAGCCTCCAAACGAATCAAACCTGGGTGCACAGCCCTGCAAGTGCCCTGACTGCCGGCCATGTGAAGCGTTGTCGTGCAAGTTGAAACACGTTTCCTTTTCTTCTCCTTCTCCTTTTTTTCCTTCAGGGTTTTAATTATATCTTTCCCTCAGAAGAGAAGGAAGGTAGTTAGCAAAGCCAAGAGACCAAAGTACTTCAGTTCTCTTCATGGGAGAATTAAATGTGATCTATGGGCCTGTCACTCTGGGCTGTCAGGTGCACAGAATGAACAGAGAGCTAGGAAACTGACATCTTGTTCACATTCTTCGGAAGCATGAGACTTTGGCTCTTGTTTATGTGTGGAGGATCATATGCTATGGAAGGCAAGGAAATTGTGTCCTTGTTCTCCTTTGCAACAAACCCTCCTCCCATCCCCAATAAATATTGCTTTAACTTGTACCTTGACCTCCATCCCTGACACTCTATTTTTCTTACATTTTGACAAATTAATAATAGGTTTGGGTTATGCACAGCCGATGTATGGTGCTGAGGTTGAATCTCGTGCTCCACACTTCATGGACTGAAGATGTTACTATGCCTGGTTGATGCCACATCAGACTCCAACACAAAGGCATTGTGACACATGACAACTGTTTGGGGTTCTGATCTCAGCTTGTGAATGGAAATGAGAGCTGATGCTAGCAAACGTAATACCTATGGATGGCATCTGAGACTATGAATGACAGGCTGGCTTCCCGTTTCTGGAGTTGGCATCTTTCTTGACCAGGCAGGGCCCAGATGTGGGGCCTGGGCTTTGGGTAGAGCTCTAGAGGGTCTTTGTTTTGCCCAGACAGTGATAACAATTGCTGATCATACTCATGAGTGGCCCAGTGAGCTCTTATGTATCTGGTATTGTTTGTATTACAAAAACATAATGTACATTTAAACATCCTCTAAATGTTGCCACTACTTTAAAATGGAGAAATGAAGTGTTGTTTATCCAGAAGATAAAGCTATCAAAGTCACTTTGAATTTGTCAGTTCAAGGATTCCTGTGGAAAAAGGTGGATGATTAAGTGTAGTGGCATCTTACACTCCATGTGTATCAATATCTAGTTAAGCTGCCATCGATATTTCATACTCTGGGCTCTTATTTGGTGAATTAAAGTTATGATAATCATGAGCAAATAGGCTACCAATGATAGTCATTAAGGTTTGGGATGTGTTCGAACCTGTCGATTGGTTCAGTATATGGCTTGTAATTCCTTTAGCTGTTATGTTCATTTGCATGTCAATTATCTAATTAAATCTTACCATGGCAGTATTAACATGGGGAAGGAAAGCAACATTTACACAGCACTTGCTAGGCATTTTACGTACATTTATATAGTTTAAATTTGCCCAGCCTATATGTACTCATTTTGGGTAAGATTACAACCAAAAGCAGAGGAAAAAATCCGGTGAACAAAATACAATCCACTACTGTAAGACTTACAGATTGCAGTTTAATATGCACAGTCTTGCATGATGAGGAAAATAATTGATTTCTTAATAAGGAAGCATTACATTCTATAAAATCCCAGGGCCCAGAATCAGTCTTAGATATTGTCTGGAAGCTTTTGTATTGAGCCTCCAATGGGAAAGCCTGAAATGTGATGAGAGCCACAGAATTGCATAGTGTTTATAAAACATTTGTGTGTTAAGGTCATTCAAGTCTTTTTTTTTTTTTTTTTTGTGAGGAGATCAGCCCTGTGCTAACATCCGCTAATCCTCCTCTTTTTTTGCCGAGGAAGACGGCCCTGGGCTAACATCCGTGCCCATCCTCCTCCACTTTATATGGGACGCCGCCACAGCATGGCTTGCCAAAGCAGTGCGTCGGTGCGCGCTCGGGATCCGAGCCAGCGAACCCCGGGCCGCCGCAGCGGAGCGCGCGCACCCAACCGCTTGCGCCACTGGGCCGGCCCCTAATCATTCAAGTCTTTTGACACTTCCTTTCATTGTTATTAGTTTGTTAAACCAGACCCCTTTCTTTGTGAAGAGTTTCCCAAAAAGGCTTCCAGTCACCTATGACACAAATTACGAGAAGACCAAAACAACAACAACAAAACAAAACTGAGTGTGAGTGATTGAGTGATTTGGTTTTCTGTGGACTTCCAAAAATGCCCTTACACTCTCTTGTGATTTAATTACAACACGCTAACTCTGACTATGGGATCAGGACAGAATCCCAGTTTATCTGCACAACATATTTGATAATTCCTTTGCCTTAGGACTTTGTGACATCTGTGAATTCTGAGCCCTGGGCAGTTGGCAGCACAATGCGACTTGAATTCAGTACCTTCCTGCACAGTGGGCTGACTTTTGGGGTGTCTTTAACTGCCTTTGGTAATCAAGCAAGGACAAGGGAAGAAGATTCTGCCATACTTAAGTGGTCATGAGTACAATTTCTAATAAGCAAGTTTCTGTTTTCTTCTGTATTCTGAAGAACGGGTCAGGATCTGAACCCCTTGGGAGTAAAGAGAAAGATTCTCTGCTCTCTATGCAATATCAATTTGAGAAGCCTCGACTTGTATTTTTTTTCCTTCTTATTGATAACAAGGGAGATCTAAATGACTTACATGACTAATTAATCTTTTTCTTCTTTTGTCTGTTTCTTTTTGTATCAGTCACTATGAACAAGACCGTAGTGCACTTAAAAAAAGGGAATGGGAGCGGAGGAATCAAGAAGTCCAGCAAGAAGATGATCTCTTTTCTTCAGGCTTTGATCTTTTTGGGGAGCCCTACAAGGTAGCTGAATACGTACGTAATTTATCTTTCTGGAAAATGGTTGCTTGTTACATTTTTGAATGCACTAATCACCATTCAATCTGTTTTTAAAGTACCCAAATCATTTCCAGGAGAATATATTTTACAAATGAAATATATACATACACTGTATTTAGGGCAATTGGAAGTTTCTGAGGAAGTCTTCAGAGACAAATTCCATCTTCTTTGGGGAGCACGGTATGATGTGAGAGGGACTTGGGAGACTTCCTGTCTCCAAGGAGTTCTTTACTGCCCAGCACTTCCTACAGCAAGGAATGCCCCCTTGATGCTTTTTCCCACTTTGATTGTCAGCAAGGCAGCCCCTGAAGACTTCATCAGAATGTCAATGGATATGTCTGTTTCTCCTCCCAATCAGTGCCATCCATCACAAGGCCACTGCTTTCCTTTTCCATTTTAGGTTGTTAGCAGCTGTTCAGTGGTTTGAGTGTTCTTTGAAAATCACTGTTCTAGAAGGAAGGGAAAAGTCAATCATTTTTTCCTGGTGGTTAATAATCATGGGTTAGGAGATTGCCTCAACCAGAGGAGGTAGTGTAGCTAGGTTGATTTTCTAGTAGTATTCTGGCTAGTGTGTATCTCCAATAGTGATCATTTTGCTATGTCTCCAAGTATTGATTTCACAATGACTGCCTCTGAACTTTCTATTTGGGGTGGAGGTTAGGGGAAGAATCTTGTTGAATTGCTGGCAGCTTGTAGGTTTTTATTGAAGTTTAGTAGCGGTGTAATTTTCTGTAATGAAACAAAAACGATGTAACAGATAAAACAACAATAGAGAAAATTTTCAAGAGTTGTGATTTTAGAAGGGCACTATTTAGAGGACAGTGGCTTCTGGAAAAGGAAAGTTCTTAATGAGGGTAGGATAGGCACAAATACTACTTTGGGGCAGAGAGGAAGCTGGATTGGTGACTAGTGAGACCAGAGTCTTGCTGCCTTATTCAAATTAAACAAACAGCCCTTGATTGAGACACTCAGGTGCCTTCCAAGTTTGGTAAGTCTGACAAAGAGACTTAGGTCACCTAAACTATTAGTTTTCAATTTGTCAATAATAGTATAATCCTTAAAAAAGCCTTTTGCCTATCTCAATTGATTTAATTTATATACTACCATTGACTATGTGTATTTAGAGATATAATTAGTTTAACAAGCATTTATTGGAGGCCCACTATGTGCTAGTCACGTCTTAGACTTGTGTATGAAGGGGAATAGGACCTGCCTTCAAGGAATTCCTTGTCCAGTGGCAGAGATCATCATGAATAAGTAAGGGCATGACTGCATGGTAACTGCTAGGAAGATAGGCAGGGGGATTAGTGAAGACTTTCTACCTCATACCTAGGAGTTTGGACACGATTCTGTACATGAAGAGAAGTCATTGCAAGTTTTTAAGTCAGGGCATGGCCAGAACAAAGAATTTTAAAAGATGATGTTGGAAGTGTGGAGAGTGGGTTGGAGGGAAGGGAAACCAGAGGTATCTCAGATAAAGAAGCTATTGTAGTTGACTAAGGGGAGTTCATGGCAGGCAGGATTTAAGGTAGAGAAAGGAAGTTGAAATGATGGGACTGGGTATCTGGTTGGATGTGGGGAGTGTGGGAAAGAATGAATGATTCCCATCTTTTTGACTTGAGAGGGTAGCGGTATTATTAACAGGTTGGTCAGGAGGACAACAGGGCTGGTGTTTGTAGAGAAAAAATAATTAGTTCTGTTTTGAGCATGTTGGGTTTGAGATGCCAGTGGAATATCAAGGGAGAGATATCTAGTATGCATTGGATATATGGATCTGGAGTTCATGTGAGCAGTCAAAAGAGAGAGAGTTAGGTGGCAATGCAAGCTATGAAAATGAAAGTTATCACTGAGTCAGATTACTGAGTTAGAAGAAGGACAAAGAGACTCTTGGGGAGTAGCAACATTTAAGGGGTAAAAGAAGTGGTGAAAGCAGAGGCCAGGAAAGGAAACTAAAAAGGAGTGAATGATCAGAGAGGTAGGAAGAGAACTAGGAGAGAATCATTTAATAGAAACCAAGGGAATAAAGCATTTTATGGAGGAAGAATTTGCTAGTTACATGTGTCAGAGAGATCAAGAAAGGTAAGGACTGAAAAGTAGCTGTTAGATTCGGCAGTTAAGGGATAATTAGTAAATTTAGGGAGAGTTGTTTTATTTGTTGATGGTGGTGGTCATTGTGGGAAGCCAAACTGCCAAGGGTTGAAGAGTAAATGGGAATTGGTAAAAGAAAGAAAGACAGTGAATGTAGACTTACTCTCGCAGAGAGTTTTTGTATGGAGGGAGGAAGAAAGGAAAATAAATTAGAATGTAAGGGAAGAGATTATATGGAAGGAAGCTTTTTTTAAAGTGAGAGAAACTTGAACGTGTTTAGAGATTGATGGGAAGGAACTAATGTCAATGGAGAAGGAGAGGGTGAAGATCAGGAGGGAGAAGTGATGGTGAGTGGAGCAAGGTCCCAGAGGAAATGAGAAAATACAAAATCGAGAGCATGTGACGAGTAATGAGCAATAGGGAGGAAGATGGGAATAGAATATTAGGATGAGAATAAAGCAGGAGAGTGGAAGGAAGATTGGGGGCAGGGCAGGAAGTTGTGGCCTCCATTTTTTTTCCAGAAAAAAAATGAAAGAGAGGTCAAAGGATGGTAGATGCCTCATCCCTTCTGGAGAAAGAGGAACAACGAGATGAGTTTTACATCTTATCTTTAGATGGGTTAGAAAAATGAGCTTTACTCAAAGGGCTCATTCTTAGAATTCAATATCTGCTCCGTGCTCAACACTATTATGAGGTGTAGAACCCCTGGTTTATTCCCCCTTTATAATTTTAAGTCCTGTTGAATTAATTGTCTTCTACCTTTAAGGTAAATACCATCCCTTGTTAATAAGGCCTTTAATATAGATGCATATTTATTTTTAGATGTAAGCAGTATATTTTTGAGTAGGCAGTTAAAAAATGTGTTATCAACATTGTCAGAGGTTTTCAAAAGCCATCTGTCTTGATAAGACAAGAGTATATCAGGTAAAGACACAGATGAGGACATTAGTCTAGTGTAGGACCAGACTTGTGGGATTAGTAGCCTGTTGCCTTTATGCTTCTTGATGGAGAAAAGCCTTTGTTCTTGAGTCAAGACTATGAATGAAAGGAATAATGCTAACAGTTGATGACCTAGTAATTCTCTTTCTTTCACTGTTGCTTTCATGATCAGCTGCCATCTTGTGCTGTGTCCATTTTTAGGGTTCCTTGGGAGATCACTGGAGAGTATGCCTCTCCTTTCCCTGTATTATGATACTATAACTGATGTGCACCTCCAAATCTCCCCAGACCTGGACTGATGTGGACACCCTTGAAGTATCTGGACATGCTAGTGGCAATGGGGATTCTAGAGCTGGCCTATGGTCCACTCATAGAGACAAGGACATACCACAGCTATTCCTTAGGGTTGTGGTGGGAATGCTTATCAAATTAAAAATCAAAATTGTTGGTGGTGGATCAGGACTTTCAGGAAACTTCTTGCCACTCTACAGCCTAAAACATGATCCTAATCACTTGTCCAATAGTGTTGGTAGTTCATAAACTAACCAATGAGCATCAGTCCCTGGGACCCACTTCCCTTTCTCGGCAGAAAGAAGAAATGGTGATCTCTCATGATCCTGGCTGATTTCTTTCCTTTCTTTGCTTTACCTCTACCATTCCTGGAATGGAAAGAATGTTGACCACCCTAGATTTGGTTGGTGGCGGGTAAGTTCTCTGTGTGGCTGCTTCTGTTGCTTATAACTTTGAAATCTGAGTTTGTGCTCTGCTGTTGAGGAGGATGTTCTCAAAAGTGCTTGAAAAATGTGAAGCCATTTACATGCCTAGGTTAGTGTGGAAAGATTGAGAGGGATGAGGAACTGTCATGTACCAATTGCCCACTGTGTGTCAGGCACTGTGCTAGGGCTTTATATGTGGGCTTGTTTGGTCCTTACAACAACGGGAGGTTATATTTTCCCCATATTCCCCATAAGGAATTTGAGGCTCAGAAAGGTGAGGTGGCTTCACTGCAGCTTTGTATCTGTGTAGGTGGTGAATCTAGACCCAGTTCTGTGTGATTCTCTGTCTGTAACAGGAAGCTGTTAATCCTCTGACAGGAAGTCAGAAGATCTGACAACTTTACCTCCTATGTGACTTTGCGGAAGAAACTTCATTTCTCTGATCTATAGTTTCCTCCTCTCTGAAGTGAATGATAATAGCTGATAATGAAAATACTACCTGATAACAATAACAACAGCTAACATTTTATAGCTCTTCACAGCTCAACAAGAATGAGGGAACCGAGGTGCAGAGAGGTTAAGTGGCTTACCCCAGGTCATTTGGGTCCGGGCAGTTAGAAGCCATATTGAGACCAGAGCTGCTCTGCTGACTCATATGGGTGTTGTAAGGATCAAGTCAAAGAACCCGGGAAACCTGGCTTTGAAATCTGCAAAGTGCTGTACAAATTCAAGATATTATCGTTATTATAATTAGAGTAAAGAAAGAAATAGCAACTTACAGCTTAGAGAGATTAACTGTAAAAATATTACAATTAGAAAAAAAGGAATTACTAAATCACATGCATTAGCCACAATGAAATAAAAGAAAAAAATGAACCTCAAAACTTAAATTATTTTGCTACATTTATTAAAAAGAAATACTATGGTACAATAGCCTCCTAGCACATTAGTCTGTAATGAAATTATACTACTGATTTGCAGATAGCATTAGAAGCAAACTGAGGCAACTTTGCATTTCCTGAAGTAATGAGAGGCAAAAAGCTTAAATAAAGGGGTGCTGTTAGTCATGAGCCACAAACCAGACATGTAATTTATGCCTGAAAATACTTGGAAAATGCATTTCCTTGATGATAGAGAAATTGTGATTACTTAGAAAATAATGGCTGCAGAGGTTACCTTTAAGGAATCAACCAATTATCTGGAACAGGAAGTAAAGAATTGGCCAAACTGAAAGAAGCCTATAATTGATTGAAATGGCTAAATTTCATTTTTGCCATGTTTGTAATGTTCAGTTGAGACTGCTAAGAATTCCTTGCTCCTTAATAGGGTTACTAAGACTCTGAAGGGCGAAAAAGAACAGTTAGTGTGAATCAGAAGTTGCTATGGTGTATAATGAGAATACATTGTGTAGGTGTACGTAAATGTATTTCAGGCCCCATTGGGTTTCTATCCAGTGGATCTCATATCTACATCTTGAGAAATTTACAAACTGGTTGACAGGTACCCACCTCCAATGGTGGGAAGGCAGAGAGAGGACTCCGGTGACCTGGACTGTACTGTTAATTATTTGGAGATCATTGAATGGTGGACTTCTTGAGGCTATATGTCTGTGTGTCCTCCGTGTCTAACCTTGCCTCATGAGTGTTTTGATTTTACCAGTCTGTGTCTTTAAGAATGACCACAGTAATTCCTACTTGTAGCCACAGCACGTCTGTTATGCAAAGCATATGGATCTTCCTTCAATCAGCAACTCAGAAAGTGTCGCCAGTGAACTCAACCTTGAACTGTCTGCTATGCAGTTCAGATCCAAGTTCCTCTGAGACAATTGCTCTGTAAGGAAGCTAGTCTAAAGGAGTTGACATCCCTCCATTCTTCCAGGTTATCCCAGCTCCACCCCATGTCATTAGTGCACAGGAAAGCCCCACACCTGGAACTATTAGCCTGGCCCTCTAACTCCACATACAGACATGCCTTCACTGAGTTAGACTTTAACGCAATGCTCTTGCTTTTTAGTCATCATAAGAAAATCCAAGTGAAGAACATCTTTGTGTCTTCTGTAAAATTGGTACTGAAAAAATTGTTTTGTTGTTGAAAGGTTCTTGTAACCAAACCAGTGAGAGGAATTCCTTTTCACATTTTAGTATCTGGCAACCATTTGTCTCGTTTAATGAATTAGGATATGCTATCTTCCATCAGACAAAGAGAATTCTATAAGCTATGAGCTTTTTCTTTTTGCCTTAGCCACCAAGAAGCTCAAAGTTCAATTTAATGTTCAATCACAGCAACCAAGTGAGTTTGACTTTTGCTTTTCTTTTTTTTGTGCCTTTTACTCCAAGCTATTGCAAATCCTTTATTTTGATATAGGCAGAGTATAAATTATAATTTGATTCTGTTCAATTCAGCAACAATTTATTGAGTACCTAATATGTACCAGACATGGTATTAATAAGTCTAGAAGATTTGAAGGTAAGTAAAACGTGGTCTCTGACCTTTAAGAGCTCATAGTTTTATGCAGGAAAAGAAATCATAACTGTAGTATACCCTATGTAGTAGGAGGTTGATTTTCTAGACTTATTGAGAGAACTTTCAATTTTCCTCTAATTTTATTCATGTAGACACAGTTTTAGACACTGGCCAATTTAGAAGTTCTCCTAATTTCAAGCATATGTTAAAACCTAGACATGGAAAAAAAGTTTAAGTATGCATCAGAAACCCAGATAATTATAACAGAAGACGTAAATGAAGAGCCATTAAAACCTAACTAAGGGTCCCTCCATTGAAGAAAAGATGAGAATGTTCCTTTTATTTGCTGCTGAACAGGAACAGGAATATGACTAGCTTGCTTGCAAGCAAATGGGCTTTGAGGTTCTTGGGTCCTGATGACGTTGGCCTGGAGAGAGTGAATGACTTCTCAGGGCTTTGAGGCATTATGGTCGTCTCTGTGACATCTCGGGGCAAGATTCTGATTCTGTAGAACTCTGTTTCAATGAGATGTCAATTAACTTTCAATGAAAGTCCAGTAAACTTTCAATGAAAGTTCAATAAATTGAACTTTAAACTTCCTGGTAGCTAAGGCAAAAAGGAAAAACTCATGGGTCATAGAATTCTCTTTGTCTCATGGAAGGAAGCATATCCTAATTCATTAAATGAAACAGTGTAAAATGAAAGGATTTAAAGTGGGAAATGAAATGGTGTTGCTTCCTCTTGTTGGGTCAGATCCTTGAAGATAGCCAGGTATTAGTGTTTGTTAGGCTATCATCTGACCCAAGAGGTAAACTGAGGGGCCGGAACAACCCTGCAAGTATTGAAAGCTTGCCTCAAATTCTTACTGGGCCCTCAGCACAATGAAATCTCTTTGTTTTGAATTTAGGGATTGAACAGAGAGACTGGTTTTGGCTGCTGCCCAAATGGTTCATTGTGCAACTCCATTGAAGGAGATTGCTATATACAAAGAGTTTATTCTTGCCTTAGCTGAAAAGTAATTTCTGCCATTAAAATTGACAAATCTAGGGACTTTCAGGGAATAAAAGTGATTTCTACCCATCTCTATCTATTAAATATGCCTTTCAAATGTACTTCTGAAAATGGAGCGATTATTCAACTGAGGATTATGTGTAATGTTAATTGTTTAATCACTACTTCAGCACCAAGGTTGCATGTGATGCAATGTAAGATGTTCTTGAGGATAAGAAAACTAAAATTGACATATATTTATTTGATTTCTAAAATTCCCCACCCCCAACAGAGCCCTCTTAGCATGTATTTAGCATACTTTTCCTTAATCTTTGAAATCATATTTCCAGAACTACCCTCACTTCTTTGGAAGTGTCTTGTATGATTTAACACATGATGTGAGTTGAATAGTGTATATGGTATGTGGAGATCATGCTAATAACGAGGCCAGGGTTTCCAGTTTGATTCCTTGTCTGGTTGTTCCTTCTGGTATCCTTTGATGGCTCCTCTTCTCCCAATCTCTTAAAGATTGATGTTCCCCAGGGTTCTCTCCTGAGCCCAATCTTCTCATTCTACATTTTCTTTCCCTAGGTGATTTCATCCATTTCCGGCACTTCACCCTCCATTCATCTGCATACTCTCCCATCTTCACGTACAGAGAACAGCACACAGCCCTACAACCTAGGTTTAGACTAAGAGACCAGACTTGAGTAGGCACACTCCCTGTGTATGCCAGGAGACTTGGCTGTGTTAAGGGTGTGTGAGAAATCTTAGATGTTAAACATCTATCTTTAGTAGAGGTTGTACTAGTGGGGAGGTGGTCACTCCTCCTACTCATAGACAACATGCTTTTGGCTCCTTGGACATGGAGGCTACATAGGTTGGGTGTCTTCCCCATCAAGTGGCCCTACTGCCACATGGCTCCATGGTTGCTGGTAGCCTTGTTTCACTGCAACATCTTGGGCCAGGGTAATGCAGCCTAGGCACAAAGAAATCCTTTGCCCTTCTGAATTCAGCAGCTTGTTTTGATAATATCTGTGGCAGGTAAAAGAGAATAATAAAAAGTCATTTTCTAAGATGAACAGCTGAGCTTTCATCAAAGTCATTTTCAAGTATATAGCTATCCAGCATTTTTTAGTTATGAAAGCTGTGCTTTCTATATTACAAAAACTCATGCCAGAACTTAATTACTTTAAAAACAATCACAGCCATTTAAATAAGATTAGTATACATATCCTACTGGGGATGGTATAGTTGGCATGTTGATTGTCCTTAAAATGATTTAGTTGCCAACATCACTTTGAAAATCTGACTTTGTTTTGATTTACTTAGGCAACAGTTTAAATTCTTGAATAAATTTCTCTAAATCGTTGAAAAGACACAGGAGAGCTTGAGTCACTGTTGATGAACAATTGCACCATTTCAAAGTAAACGAGTATGAATCATCAATATGTAAACACAATCGCCCCCAGAACTTGTAGGCAGACACCAGTAATTTATAGAGTCTTTTGAGTAAAAAGAATTAGATTCGCTTTACTCATGTTAGCTCAATTAGGTGTTGTTTAATCCCATGCCTTTTCTAAACTGAATGTAGTCATGATAGCACGATTTAACTGACTTCCTTATCCAATGGGATAAGCCTTTTTCATGGTGTAATGTAGGGCACAGTGCTGACGTGTCAAGAATAAACATAAGTCGAGCATTCCATTTTAATTCCAATGATCAGTAAGTGGAAGTTGTTAATCATAATGGAGAATGTAACAGTTCAGCTCATCTGACCTAAAATAAGTTATTTTGCTAATAAAATTCATAAACGATGTAATTTCAAACTTTCTCCCTATGAGCATGTTTAAGGACAGGCCAGGGAGTATACAAACGTTAATCACACAGCTCATTCCAAGAGGCCCTTTCAATAGTGTTATTGATTTTTTTCTTACATAGCACATGGAAAGTATGAAATTATATAGCAGCATGAGAATTTTTAAAGAACCCTATATGCTAGTCTACTTAGAACATCTGTTTGAAACATTAACATTAGGAAACACAAACCTATTCATTCTCTCTCCTCCCACCCCCATCTTTTTGTTATTTTAGACAAACAAAGGTGATGCACTTGCCAGCCGAGTCCAGAACACGCTGGGAAACTATGATGAAATGAAGGATTTGCTAACTAACCATTCTAATCAGAATCATCTAGTGGGAATCCCAAAGAATTCTGTGCCCCAGACTCCCATCAACAAAAATGAACCAAGCTTTTTTCCAGAACAAAAGAACCGAATGATCCCACCTCACCAGGATAACACTCACCCCTCGGCACCAATGCCTCCACCTTCTGTTGTGATACTGAATTCAACTCTAATACACAGCAACAGGAAATCAAAACCTGACTGGCCACGAGATACTCATAATGCTAGCATTGTACCGGCCAGCCAGGCTTGTGGTCAGCCAAACAAGATGCAGCCATCTACACAGGAGCAGCCCCAAGCCAGACTGGAAGACTTCTTTGTCTACCCAGCTGAACAGCCTCAAGTTGGACCAGTTGAAGAGTCAAACCCGTCTGCAAAGGAAGACAGTAATCTCAAGTCCAGTGGAGGGGATACATTCAAAGAAATCTTTCAATCTAACTCACCAGAAGAATCTGAATTTACAGTGCAAGCGCCAGGGTCTCCCCTAGTTGCCTCATCTTTACTAGCTCCCAGCAGTGGTCTTGCAGTTCAAAACTTCCCACCTGCGCTTTACAGCAAGACAAGCGTGGGGCAGCAAAAACCTACTGCTTACGTCAGACCCATGGATGGCCAGGACCAGGCACCAGACATCTCTCCAACACTAAAACCTTCGATTGAATTCGAGAACAGCTTTGGGAATCTGTCATTTGGATCACTCTTGGATGGAAAACCCAGTGCAGCCAGTTCAAAGACTAAACTGCCAAAGTTCACGATTCTCCAAACAAGTGAAGTAAGTAATTTTAAAGTTTTGTTTGTTTTGTTTTGTTTTTTTAGTTCGCTGCTCTAACCTTTATAATCAAGTATTCACAAGCAGCTCTTATTTACCTTCTTGAGCCATAAATGAGACTCTTCAAGGTCAGAGTCAGATTCTTGATCTTCTGTCACTTGTGACTTGACTGATTAACACTCTGCAAATACAGTTAAATCTCCATAATTTGGAGTGACAAAAGACAAGGTCAGTCTGAGTGAGTGAAAAGTGGGATTTATAAAATAGTTTCAGAGAATGCATTTGTAGTAATATTATGTGCAAATTAATGACATTGGAGATTTTAATTGGTCATAAGCAGTATGAGGTCATGAAAAGATTGTGAGTCACCATAGGCCTTGAGTAGCCAATAGCATATCATAAACATAAAACACAGAAGTTCCTTAAGGTACAAGAACATACAAGTGTGATTTGCTGGAACCAGAAGTGACAGGCATTCTTTAAGAATCTTAGTTTCTTGAGTGCTTGCAGGACCGTTCCTTGGCAAGACCTTAATGTTTTCTTCTGTATTGCTCAATCTTCCCTTCTGCATCACCTTCTTGTACAGGTACTTACATAGCCCTCTTATACTACCTTGATCCCTTCTGTCAAAGCTAAAGGCATTATGCTCAACCAAAATCCCACTGGGTTTAGAATGACTAAATGTCCTGCCCATCTCAGAAACCATTGCCTTGTAAAAGAGAAGTCCAGAGGGACCAAAGCCTCTCCCGAAGGAATGACTTGCTAATGATTGGATCCCAGACGTTGTGGCCCCTGGGTGGGGGACATGTATTGGGTGCTCCTCACATACCACCATGTAAGCGGCTGCCTACTGCACCTGAAACGCTTGATTGGAAGAAGCCACTGCTTTTAGATTGGATTCCTGTTACTGGTGACTAAAAGCTTCAAAAAACACAGAGGAAGAATGTAGGTTGAAATTCTTACTCAATAGGAGTCACAGAGAGTCTGTCTGAATTGTTGCAGATTCCAAATTAGTGGTGTCTAAATTAGAAAAGTCTAACCATATGTGCCCTCTGGCTCTCCTTCCTTTGTTCATACTCAGCAGATGCGGTGATTTCAGAGGACTATGGGAGCACAAAGGAAGGGAGGAGCGGGGCTGTTGATTGTATTTTCTGAATGCATGTTTTCAGTATTGTTTCCTTTCTGAGGCAGTTTTGCTTTTTGTATCATCATTCATCAAGTCTTGTCAAGCTTCCTCCTAAATATCTCTCCAATCCATCACCTCTTCACCCTCACTGCCTTCGAAGCACTGGGAGCATCTCTCGCCTGTACTACTGTGATAGCCCCTCATATCTGGTCTCCCTCCCTTTAGTCTCACCTGTCTTCCAAACCATCCTCCATGCAGGCTGATCTAATGGGCAGATCTGACTATGTCACTCCCTGCTTTGGATTCTTCAATCCCTTCTCATCGCTTCCAGGAAAAAGTCTTAGTCCCTCATACAAAGCTCTTCACTCTGATTTCATACTCCCTTTCTGACCTCCTGTTTCACTGATTCTTCATATGCAGATAAAATCCAAGCCAAGTGGAGCTATCTGTGGTTCCCCGTCATGTCATGCATTATCACACTTCCTTGCTTTTGTGCCTGCTGTCCCCTCAGCCTAGAATGTCTTTCCCTACCCTCCCTTGTCTTTCTGGTGAAGTCCTTTTTCTCCTTCAAGTCTACTCAGTTGTCACTTTCTCTGTGAAAGCTTCCAATTCCACCAGGCTAAATTACAAACTGCTTCCTCTGGGTTCCTCTGGCACCTTATATACACCTTGACTGGCACTTATTTCATTGTATTATAGTTATCCGTTTATGTGTGTGTGTCCTCTATTAGACTGTGAGCTCCTTGAGAGCAAGGCATGTCTCATTCTTCTCTGTATCCCAAGTGCCTAGCAAATGCTTGGCACATAGTAGATACTCAATAAATGTTTGTTGAATGAATGAATTTTAAAAATGGTTGCTTGATTACATTTTCTAAGCCATAATGTTAATCAAATAACATGAACAAAGGTGAAAAATTGCTAGAAAATCCATCCTCAATTATGGTTCTTTAATTGTACTCTGTCTGCCTGTGTCTTATTCTGCTTTGCTTCTGCACAATCCTAATCTTAATTTCCACTGGATGACTTAATACAGGATTGTAATACTTAAAAACCAAAAAGAAACCTGCTTTGAAAGAGGAGGAGTATAATGAGAGGCTGGGATATTATTCTTGTCCCTTCTCTTGCCCTGATATCTGCTGTTGTTCCCTCCTTACATGACAGTGCCATCCCTCAGGACTAGTCTGGAAATGGCCCATCAAGAGGTCTGTCAGCCTGTGTCCATACCTCATTAGCAGAGTGATAGGTCACAGACCCAGTGAGATCCACTCCATTGTAAGCCTCTCTCTTATACATTCACAACATGGCTGACCCAGATTCAGAAACAACTTCATGCTTTCACTCAGTGCTCTGGCACACCAAGGAGAGGTACATTTCCAACGAGAGTCTGAGCTGTCATCAACTCTGGAGATGACGATCCAAAGAGCAACGTGTGTGCACATAGCCTTTGTGATGGTGACGGTGCGAATAGGCTTTGGTAGAGCCTTCTATGAAAAATGGGTCAGGTGCAATAAAGTCATGAAAAGAGATCAGTGAAGAAAGTACTTATTTTAAAATATAGGTCTCAAGGAGAGATTTGAAAGAGGGGTAGAGAGAAGCTTAGGGCCCTGAAGTCAGGAGAATATGCAGGCTTCAAGGGTAATGTGAAAACCAAAAATAGGAGGAAAAGAAATGAGAAGTTAGACAGCCTAACAGAGAACTTAGAAGGGTGTAGATTAAACATGGGCATCAATATAGACAGGGTGAAGCATTATGGAGCTTTGAACCTAATGGAATTTATGTGGCTAAAACTCTGACCAAGTCTGGAAATTTGCCCTATTAAATCTTGATGCACTTTTCAAAAGCACTTAGCATTAGAATTCAGCCCCAGTCCCTGGCGCCAAGAGTTCCAGTCATTGGGTTCTGGGTTCCTAGTCAAAGTAGCCATCTTCGATGAATGGTAGCATTACTTTGAGTTATTACTATAAAGGCTTGTCCATAGAGCAATCACAGGATTTCTTTGAGTATTCCCAACTCTTTCCCTGCCTCTAGTGACAAGAGGCTGACATGTGTTAGTGAAGTGCATTTGGGAGGTGTAGGGGGTTGAATGACCAGAAAACAGACAGCATCCTAAGATATACAAATAATCAGATACAATTATATTTGTGAGTTGAGAGATCATAAACTGTCAGTGACGTGAAATGTGCATGTGCGTGTGCTCATGTTCGTTTACATGTCTATGCTTGTGTAAATAGTGGGGAAATTTTAATTATTTCTTATCCTTGAAACATTTCCTTGCTTCTTAGAATTTCTGTATCAATAACAAGGATACCAGGGGCCGGCCTGGTGGTGTAGTGGTTAAGTGTGTGCGCTCCGCTTCGGTGGCCCGGGGTTCACAGGTTCGGATCCTGGGCACACACCGATGCACTGCTTGTCAAACCATGCTGTGGCGGTGTCCCATATAAAGTAGAGGAAGATGGGCACAGATGTTAGCCCAGGGCTGATCTTCCTCCGCAAAAAGAGGAGGATTGGCATCAGATGTTGGCTCAGGGCTGATCTTCCTCACCTGCACAAAAAATAATAATAATAAGGCTACTAGAAGTCTAATCAACTTTATTCCAAAGGTCAGCTTTTCAATTGAAGCATGCTTTTTAAACAAATAATTTATTTGTTTATTTAAAAACTTATTACAGAATTTACTAACATTCCAGGCACCCCCAAAAAAAAGACTGATGTGTTCTTGCAGTTGGGCTTAGAAGAATTTTCTGGGAAGTGCATCTGAAAACAGTAAGAGGGCTATTTATATCAAGTGAGCGTTGCTTGCAGATGGTGTTTAATTAGGAAAAGAATTTGTTAATAATTTCATTACAGATGTTTTTGTTTATTTTTTCATTAGGATAAAAATCTTCCAGTGTAGATAGCTTTGCATTTTGGTGCAATTTGTTATTAGTATTGTTTGGGAAGTAAATAATTGCATGCAAATGAAAGGATCAATGACATGTATTAAGTGTTTCCATCCTAAGTGAATAAGCTTTCATAAGTACAATACTAATGTGTGGAGTGTCATCACCATAAAGGGTCATTTGCTTTACAAGCTGCTCTTGACTGTGACATAAGCTATCCGAGGCTCCAATTGCCCCCAAATTAGGAGTCTCTTAGAAAAGTTTAATGGAATTGATATGAATGATGGTATTTGGCTTTAGCTTATTTTAGTGTCTAGCTTTCTCAACGAGCTGAAAAGTTATTGCGCACATTTGTGATTGTGCCCGTTTTGTTTTATATCCTATGCAGTGAACACTGTGGTTGTACTTAGCTTTATATGTTATGAGGTAGATAGGAAGCTCAGGTCACTTGTGTGCGAACTGCAGACGATGTGGGAACTTCCCATTCATGTGCTGGATGTGCCTGGGCAGCTACACGGAAACTGTAGAGGCAGCTCCTTCAAAGAACGGAAGGTCATCCAGCTGCTGTGTGCAACCCATGCTAAGCATTTTCCACTTGATGTGCATCACGAGTTGATTTTTTTTGTCCATTCTTATGGAAATAAAATAGTATCCAGTCTAAGGCTGTAACTGGTCTAATTTCCACCCCGTTGGGAATGAATGCAGACAACTCTAAAAATCCTTGCACTTTCAGGGTGCCAGCAGAGACCTTGACCTTAGCATTTATTCTATAGAAGCGTAGGAGCCTTTGTATATCCTTTGCCAGTCCATCACCTAATGGTTGCTTTTTGTTTGTGCTTTTTTGACTAACACTTCCAACTGCTTGGTCTCATCGGTATTAAAATTTGTTTTCCTTACCACACCTCTTCATTTCCCCCTAATTTTAGTGTCTCCCTAAGCTGAATGAAGTGGCCCCAACTGAACATCTGAAAAGGATAGTCAGTAATACAATTAGAAAA